CCTCCCCCATCCATTCCGCCAGTCAGCGCTGGAGGATCTGAGCGGGGAGGGGGAAATCCAGTCCCTCCCCGTCACGGCAGGGGGCCGTGACAGGATCCAGAAGTGAGCGAACACCGGTATGTGTTCGCTCACTTCCCGATCTACTGAGCCGACCTGTGACAGTCTCATTGTCACAAGTCGGCTAGAACTATGAGGTGAGTGAAAAGCACTCACCTCATAGTTCTCCTTTAGGCATACTTGCAGCAAGAATGCAAGCTCTGCCTTTTTATCAAGGATCCCCTCCCCTATGCCAATACACTGCACTAAAATGTAAAAACGAAAAACTGTGGGTAACACAGTTAGTTAATATACTTACCTTACCCCTGGCTTCTGCCCATATTGCCTAGGCAAGGGTAACATCACTGTCCTTCTGGCTAGATCTTGGGGAATGCTAGGTAGGCCAGATCTCACAGGACGCTTCCTCTACACTGTGCTAGACTTTTATATCCTGCAGTACAAAAGCCAGGGGGAAGGTAATATTTCTAACTTTTTATACTCACAGGTATTTTATATTTTTGTACAGCATTTTGGCATGGGGGGTAAGTGAATAAGCAGACTTTACTTGTAGTGCAAGGTCCACTTTGTAGCTCTTTATATTTTACTTCTCCATTGCTGAGATCAACAGCTGTGAACGATCCGTGCTGCTTCTCTTTTAGGGCTGTCTAATCTCTCTTTGGAGAAACATGTTAGGATGTTTCAAGTGACATCTGGAAGGGCTCATAATCATACTCATGGGCATTTTCTACAGCTCCCATGGCTGCGTGTAACAGATGCTTTTAGCTCTGAAAGAAATTGAATCAAGTACTGACAGAGATTCTGCTTTCAAGAGCAGCATTTCTCAACCAGGGTGCTGCAACACAATGGGGTGCCTTTTGGCTTTGTCAGGGTTTCTTTTAAATGCATGTATGTAGGTGAGCCGTCCACAGCACCATGGAAATGCATGATGCTAATCCGGCATGGGTTGCATCCACACCCTTCCTCAGCATTCACAAGAGGACAGAAGTCTGCTTCTGTCTAGACCTGCTCCATGTTCCACACTCTGCCACGCTGCTGCAGCGGAAGCCCTATTGTAGAGATTTTAAGGGAGGACTCTCATGTGAAGGGCTGACTGAGGACTCTGATATGAAGAGGGGCTCCTGATGTGAATGGTGGGCTTTTGATGTAAAGGGGGGGGGGGG